TTTCTTTCTTTTTTTCTTTCTTTCTTTCTTTCTTCCTTCCTTCCTTCCTTCCTTCCTTCCTTCCTTCCTTCCTTCCTTCCTTCCTTCCTTCCTTCCTTTCCTTCCTTCCTTCCTTCCTTCCTTTCCTCCCTCCTCCTTTCTCCTTTTTCCTTTCCTTTTACCCTACTCTTTCCTTTCCTATCCTTTCCTGTTTTTTTTCCTTAGTCCTTAGCATAATCTCACCTAAGATGGAGGGTTGTTAAACAAAAATAGGTTTTCTAACAATTGGAATGAATACTGAAAATCTTTGAAAAGGTGCTTTTGTTTTCTCTGTATATAAGGTTATGGTTCAACTTTTCCTGAACCTCTTGGGGGGCAGAGGCTCTCCTTTTGAACCCAGAGAATGGAAATGCCACCCCATTTTCTTAATTGGAAGCTGAGCCATTTGTTCACACTATTGTGCATGCATAAGGACAAGGATAACATGGCATAACATTTAATAGTTCAGCTTTTCAGTGTAGATAAAAATGCACTTTCATCTCCTGGGTGATGTAAGAATTCTAATGATGAATTTACACTGGGAAGTATTGTCGCCCCATTGTCACTCAGGCATCAACATAATTTGAGGCAATTAGTCTTGTTGTGTTTTTTTCTTTATTTTTCCCTCGGCAAATGGTTAAGAAGCACAAGTGATAGAATAATAACTTCTTTTTACTGTATATAATGCAGGATCATAATTGATGCTTCTGATTACTGATTAGTATAAGAGGATTATAAGGCTTAACTGTATTTTAATTTTCGGGAGGTGGGAGGGATTGTGAGTTTCAACTTAATTGCAGCTTTCCCTCGTTATTTTTTTACAGTGGTATATTCAAAGTGCGGCATTTCTTTCTTTCTTACAGTGAATAGTTCGTTAATCAATGAGACGGTCATATTCTCTCCATCTTCGCTCAGTGAAATAACGGTAAGCAGAAATCAGGTTATAATATTTGAAATAGTTACGCTCAGTGCAATTACATTGCTTGCTTTTAATACATTATCTTTCCTTTTGTCTTATTTTGCTTTAATCTCCCGAGTTGAATTAACACCTGTTTCATAGGATTACTGTATTTTGAACAAAATCACAGTACAGACTAACAACAGTTCACTTAGTGACCTAAATTCAAAGTTACAACGGCACTGAAAAAAGTGACTTACGACTGTTTTTTTCACACTGACGCCCGTTGCCGCATCACGTGATTTACATTCAGGTGCTTGATGACTGACTCATATTTGTGACGGTTGGAGCGGTCCCCGGGCTCATGTGATCCCCTTTTGCAACCTTCCGACAAGAGGAGTCAACGGGGAAGCCAGATTCGCTTAACAACTGTGTTACTAATTTGACAGCTGCTGTGATTCGCTTAACAAATGTGTGATGACCCAGGGCGTGACACAAAAGTGACATAGTCACAAAAGTAGAATAAATTCCCTTTAATGCCTCCAACTTGGGCCCCAATGTCCAATTATCCTCGGCTGGATATCAAACTCTTCCAAAAACAGTCTACAAAGAGAGCAAATGCAGTCCGAACCCAAAGTAAAGATAATTAGAAATTAAAAAAACCAACACAAACCACACAGCAGGCCAGGATGATAAATTGCAGACTTCCACAAGATAATGCAACAACCACAGTTGGGAGGACACCAAAACCCAGATAAGCCTTGACAAAGATAATGCACACTTTGCTTCCAGCAAGGAGCTGTGTGCAAATGCCCCACTTATATTCTGTTCTCCCAGCTGCAACTAATGAAAGGGATCAGGGCCTTTTTCTCTCCCGTAAGCCACGTTGCTCCTTTCTCCATTCATCCCTGTGTGCCCTAGAATGAAGAGGGAGTGGGCCTAGGTCTTCCTCTGAATGCCCAGCTGGACTGTTTCCTTCCCCCGTTTCTTCCACAGCCGCTGGAGCCACACTCCCACTCTCTGTTAGCTGCTCAATCTCCCCTTCAGAATCAGACTCCAACAAGGGCATGACAAAATGTGTCAAGAAAGGTCATAAAATGGGGTAGAACTCACTGAACACATTTCTTGCTTAGTAACATAAATTTTGGGCTCAGTTGTGGTCGTAAGTTGAGGACTACCTGTGCAAAGCGATGAGCCCCGGTGGCGCAAGTGGTTAGAGTGCATGCTAGTTCTGCTGACTACCAGCTGACTGCAGTTTGGCCGTTTGAATCTCACCAGGCTCAAGGTTGACTCAGCCTTCCATCCTTCCGAGGTGGGTAAAATGAGGAGCCCAAATTATTGGGGACAATGTTGAAGCATTAAGATTTAAGAGCTGGCTAGCAGCAATAACAGCTGCCAGTTGCTGTAAGTTTGATGCAATGTTAGGCTGAGGAAATGGTGATTCAGCATAGCATGGGTATTTCCCTTTAAGACTGGGGATGGGTTCTACCCCTTTAATCGGTGTTTATTATAAGGCAGCCATTATAGAGTGTGTGTTCTCTCTCCTTGTGTCTAGTATTCATTGCAGAGTTCTCCATGTGTACAGTTAAGAAGAAGTTTGTTTACTTAGAAGATATTTGCCTACCACATATATTTCTGTATGTAACTGTTGTAATATAAACTGCTGTTAAATGTCTAAGTCTGTGAGCTGCGTTTTGCTCCTGGGTTGTTTCATAATGGTAGTCATGCTGCAAACACTCTGACACACAAGATGCTGCAAACAGCTTAGGACTGTAAAGCACTGTAAAGTGGTATATAAGTCTAAGTGCTATTGCTATTTGTGTACAGTCAATTGTGTACATGTTTATTCAGCAGTAAATCCCACCGAGGTCTTTAGGATTTATTTCTAGGTCGGTAGACATAATAATTTAACTTTTTTTTCCACACCTGTCAACCATCCCATTGGTAAATGCAGCAAAAGAAATTTTACCAATTTTATACTATTTTACCAAGAGTATAACTTTATTGATAATTCCATACAGGCACAGAAGTAGCAATGCCTATGCAGCCTCTTAAATTGGGCCACTTTCTGGAATGTGTTGCCCCCTTTCTTGAAAGCTGCAAAGTGATTGCTGAGATTACACACACACACACACAAACACACACACACACACACACACACACACACACTTTCCAGCTGCACATTCCATCACCTGGTTAATATCAAAACATCCACAACAAAAGAAAATAAACACCACTAAAGCACTACTTGGACGCTATCGGCATTGACGAATTCACTCTCAGTCAATTGCGGAAGGCAGCTTTGCTTGCAACAGCTTACATCCTGCAATGATATTTTTATCATTGAATACCATCTGCCTATAACGCAAGTTCTTGGGAAGGGCTCGGCAGGCAGACAGAAATGCCAAACCCAAATCCGGTTGTCCATGTGACGAACCATAACTAAATAATACTTACAATTGGTTACAGCAGTTTTTAAAACAAAATGTGGCCACCTTAAAAAAAAAACCCAACCACATTGGTAGACCCAGCTGGATAGCTGTGCCAAAATCAAATGGCTCAGAAATTTAATTAGTCGATATAAAATATACCCATGCATTTTTTTTTTATAAAATCAGCAGTGCAACAACAACACACAGATCACAGAGGATGCTCTTATCACTTCTGAGTGGAAAAATGAGAACTTTGTCAAATTCTTTTGCTCCCTCTGGGCTGTACAGTTATGTTGTTGAAAAGATATCTGTGAAAATTGTGAACTGATGCAAAGAATCTGTGAATGCTTTTATCACTTTTAGTCTATTAAAAGCTCTTCCCAGTTGAATAGGCGGTAGCTCAGGGGAGGAATAGCCATGCATTCAGAAGGTTGAGTTATGTACAGGTAGTCCTCAACTTACAATAGTTCATTTAGTGACTGTTCAAAGTTACAGTGGCACTGAAAAATGTTACTTATGACCGTGTTTCACTCTTAAGACCTCTGCAACATCCTGGCGGTCACATGATCAAAAGTCAGGTATTTGGTAACTGTTCATATTAATGACCATTGCTGTGTCCCAAAGTTATTAATTAATTATTACTCTGTGATGACCCAGGGTGTGGCACAAAGGCAACACAGTCAGATAATCAGTAGGAGTCCCTTTATGAGCTCCAACTTTGCCCCCAATGTCCTGGTTATCTTCTGGCTGGAGAGAAACTCTCCCAGGAACAGCCTTTGGCTGCAGAGAATCAAGTCCAAAACATGGTCAACAAAAACTGTAACTATAAGTCCAAACAAGGCAAAACGAGATAATTAGTCCAGCAGGGCAGGAGAAGGAATTCCAGACGTGAAGGCACAGCAATAACTCAACACGGTTGGGAGGATGCCAGGAACACAGATAACCAAAGTACACAGAAGATAAACTCACATTTGTTCCCATCAGATGCCTCACTCTACATGCATCTCTTTTAAAGTCCCTTTCCAGCTGTGGCTAATGAAGGGAATCAGGGCCCTTTCCTCCCCCGTAAGCCACGCATCCCACGTTGCTCCCTTCTCCATTCATCTCTGCATGCCCTAGGATCAAGAGGGGATGGGCCTGGGTCTTCCTCTGAACTCCCTCTCCCTTGTTCTACCTCTCCCCTGCTCGGCCCAGCCGGACTTTGCCCCTACCCAGTTTCTTCCACAGCCAATGGAACCACACTCCCACTCCCTGTCAGCTGTTTGTCTTCCTCCTCGGATTCAGACTCCGACAGGGGCACTCATAAAATGCCGGGATTCACATGCATTATACAAAGGCAACTTTTCAAGCATGTTGGGACTACAGCTCCATAATGTCTGAAAAGTAAAGGCCATATTGTTATAGGTAGTCCTCAACTTATAACCATTCACTCAATCGTTCACTTAATGACCATTCCAAGTTACAACAGCACTGGGGAAAAAAGGAGTTACGACCACTGTTCACACAGTTGCATAATCCCACTGGTCACATGATCAAAATTCAGGTGCTTGGCAGCTGGTTCATATTTATGACCAGTGCAGTGTCCCAAAGTCACGTGATCCAAAGTGCAGAGAATCTAGCATCGAGGGAGAAAACGAGAATGTTTGCTCTAAAGATGCCATTTTTTCCCCTTCCTCTTTTGTGTTTATAGCACAATGATACCCTTGAATGGTCATCCCTGACCAAGAAGGAATGCTTGAAGTTTGGAGGAGTGCTCTTGGGGAATAATTGCAAATATGTCCCTGACATCACACTCATGTCCTGCATTCTCTTTTTGGGAACCTACACATGCTCCATGGCTTTGAAGAAATTCAAGACCAGTCGTTATTTCCCAACCACTGTAAGTCGTGTGATTTCTAATAAGGTTTCTCTGCTAATTTCTGCAGTACATCCAGCACCATTTGATCAAGGTCAAGAATTAGCTTCGTATTTCGGCTGTTTCTCATTGTAGCCAGTAAGTGGGAGGATGGATGGTGCACCTACAGACATGAGTGGCAGTGTGGTAGTCTGTCCACTTCAGTGGTGGGATTCAAATATTCTTACTACTGGTTCTGTGGGTGTGGCTTGGTGGGCGTGACAGGGGAAGAATACTGTAAAATCTCCAGTCGGAGGTGGTATTTGCCGGTTCTCTGAACTACTCAAAATTTCCACTACCGGCTCTCCAGAACTGGTCAGAACCTGCTGAATACCACCTCTGGTCCACTTGTATCCTGGCAGCACACACCATAAGTACTTGGTTAAAAGGGGATTTGGAAAAGACACTCAATCCTGTAGGTCCCTGGGTGCTATCTGAGCTTGGCTGTTTTCTTGCAGACATTTCATTACCCAACTAGGTAATACCATCAGTGCTACTGATATTACCTAGTTGGGTAATGAAACATCTGCAAGAGAGCACCAAACAATTCAACACTAAGCTACAAATATTATTTTTTATTGGTTCATTTATTCCTGTTAATCCAGTCTTCTTTGTGCCTTATAAACCAGTAAGTTTATATATGAACTTTGCTCAAACAGCAATGTTACTACCTGAGCATTTAAAGTTTATGTTAACTCAACATGGTTCACTGCATAATGTTGTAAACCTTAAGATTAAACTTAGATAAAAGGTAGTATGTTGCATAAAAATCTTTTTTATTACTTCCTCCTTTGATTTATGAAGTACCGAACATATTTGAGTCCTAAGCACAGAGATAACATTTCTGGGACCAGAGCCAAATTAACAAACGAGGAATGATTAGAATTTTGGCAACAGCTTGCCATGTTTAGAATGGTATCTGGTGGATAGAAAGGTAAAGAAAGAGTATCTTTAAAAATGATTATTATCCTTTTTT